ATCCTAGCATTGACTTTTTCCATTAAACTTTGTGTATGATGCATTAACAGTGCTTCAGTGGGTGGATATAAAAATTTGTCACTTGTTAGAGCTGCCTCAGTGCCTGCCCTCCAACAGCCTCCAAACCTGTGCTGTGCTCTGCCAGGGGGCACTGCAGTGGTGTGAGAAACGATCACTTTGACACATGAGAAACCCAACAGTGAGAGGGGACATGGCAGCACATCCTGTGTGCAAGATTGTACCTGCCACAGCACCCTGAATGGCGCAGGCAAGGGAGTCAGGGGGTGGCAGAGTGGGCAGGAATTAAATGAGGAATCTATCCCCTGAGATGGGGAGCTGCCACTGCCAGTGTATCCTGGCACTGCATGTGGGGTACAAGCTGCTGTGCTTGGGGCTGGGTGAAGCCCTTTGTCTCATCCTCATATGAATGCACTGATCCAAGGCATGCATGAAAAAAGAGCATTCCCACAGTTCCTATTTCTATGTAAGGATATTTTCTAAATCCCTAAAAATAACTTGTGTGTTATCCACTTGGTCCACCTGCCAGCAAATTTGCTTTTGAAACACACTTGGTAAATGGTTGCTTCATGTGGCTTAGCCATCCTGCACAAAGTTTAATTTCCTCCTTTCCCCACATTCAGAGGTTCTTTACTTTCCCTAAAATATTTGTGAGGTGTCTCACTAGGATCCTCAGATCCACAAAAAAGGACAGCAAAAGGAGTCAACAGCACACTGGGCTCTCCATCTTCCAAAGGTGGAAATTTTTGGAAGGAACAAAGTGTAACAAGAGTCAGGCATGTGCTGTCAGATGCTGTGGTTAGAGGGCTGGTAAGAAGAGGTGGGGAGTGCATCAGAATCTATGCAGCATTTGGATAAATCCAGAAATAATGGTCTTGTACCAGTCCAAAAAACTGGTAAAAGTTGCTCAAGTTCAAGAGATTACAGGCAAGAAGATATTTAGTAAAAGATAGAGTAGAATTGGGAGAGAAGCAGGGAGGATTGGGAGAGTGAGAGGGGATAATGAGAAGGAATAAGTTTTTGTAGTTATTGGCTTTTTATAATCCAACAACTCTGCCCCACACTGCTGCTCACTCACTGCCCCTGGTGGGATGGGGGAAGAGAATTGGAAGGGTGAGAAAACTCTTGGGTTGAGGAAAGTACAGTTAGATAACCAAAATAAGATAAAATTTTATCTAATTTGTGGTGAAAAGAAAATTATGAAAGAGGAAAAAAAATAGAACCCCAGAAAGACAGGTGATGAATACAACCCGAACTGCTCACCACCAACAGACCAGTGCTCAGCCTGTTCCTGAGCAGTGGCCCCTCAGCAACCTTCCCCAGTTCCGTATGCCGAGCGTGATGCCATATGGGATGGGACATCCCTGGGGTCACTTGGGGTCAGCTGTCCTGGCTCTGTCCCCTCCCAGCTCCTTGTGCACCTCCCAGCCATTTCTCTGGTGGGTGGTGCAGAAAAGGCCTTGACCGAGTATGAGCTGCTCAGCAATAATGGAAACACTGTGAATTATGAGCACTGCTTGCAGCACAAATCCAAACCACAGCCCCAGAGCAGCTACTGTGGGGAAACTGAGCCCTACCCCAGCCCAAGCCAGCACAGTGCAAGAGCAGTGCAGTATTTCTTGAATGTGCTAAATGGAAAAGTGGTAATCTGCTGAGATTTTGTATCATAGAGTCAGTTTATGTGTGCATGCATTTTCCAGTGCTTGATACCTGAAAGTGGTATCACTCATCCAGACTTTCCTGGGACTAGTTCTACCATAAAATGACAGGCACTCAACAATTGTGATTTGAAGACGAGTTAAATTTATTTAGTATCAGCAGTGCATCCTTCTACATGGCTTGGGGCAGTGTGATTCATCACATGCAAGGCAAGAATATTAACTAATCTTATAGGAATATAAATGTGTTGAAGAAATTCTGCCCCAAAAATTACTTCTTTGCTTTCAGTAATTCCTATTACTATTTCTTTTTCAGCAAACTTTCCAATACTGCAAACTGCAACACTTCCTGGCTTTGTCGCTGTTTCTTGTATGGAGCAAAAAAGGTCCACATAATGTTTGGGTTTCTCCCTACAAATGGCAAGAATAAGCTCCAACCCAGGGACTTTGAAAATGAAATGCTTCCTCCCTGGTATTCCTTAGCAAGCAAAATTTCTCCACCCAAAAATTGTCTGATGCTGTCCAAACACAGAAGCCAGCAGAAGTGGAAAAGAAACACAGGGATATTTTTGCTTTCTTCCCTAGTACAGGCAGATAAAGAACAATATTTGTCTGCACACATGAGATCGCTTAAACTTTTGTAATACCCTATCAAATTTGTATTCTTCCTACCTCCCCCATGGCAATAACATGCCACCAAATGAGTTCTCTAAGTCACCCCTTGTGACGCTGCCTCTGTTGTTCTGACTCCCTGGAGTCACCTGTGTGGTCCTGCCTGCAGTTACCAGCACTTGGTGCAGGTGCTCAGCAGGGCCGTGGGAGAGGCTGCCCAGCCCTGCTGGTTCTCATGTCAGGCTGTGATGGGCTCTCTCCAGCCTGTTCTCTTGCCATGAAGCACCTCTCACAGGGCAGACCTGGAGCAGCCCTTGGACTTGCTGCTCCACCAGCACTCAGAAGACTGAAATCCCTGCCTGAATGGCAGAGGTGCAAATCTGCTGCTGCCCTGCCACATCCGCCCTTCTCTGTGGTCTGTGCCCCCCACATGCCTCCAGCTTTGCCAGGGGGAATTCTCATCCTTACAGCTGCTCCTCAGCCTGACCTCTCTGCTGGAAAGCTGCCAGCAAAATTAGAAATTAATTTCAGGTCTAGTGGTGGTTTTATGAGATGCTACTGCTTGTGTGCTGGGAACATGATTCAATTCCCAGAGTCACTGGGCACTGAACAGACTGTGCAGAGTAACAGTTTTCAATCAATACTGACCTGAGCTGGAGATGAACCCATCTGGAAAAGATGAAAGCTCTGCAAAGCTCCCATTTACAATTCCCTTTGACATGCTGATTCCCTACCACTGGCCGATCCCTTCCTTCCCAGGATCATTATGAAGCAAACTCTATTTCATTTAGGTCATGACCTTATGACTGATTTTTCAGAGAATTATGACCTACTTTGAGGCTGGGCTTCATGCTTGTTTTTAACTCTTCAGATGGAGTAAATAGTAAGTAAGTTAATTACCTGAGGACAAGCATTTATTTTTATTACTTTTAGTAATTTATTTTTCATATTTCTAATAGCTTCTCGGTATAACCAGTGCAATGTAAAAATATTTAGGGTCCTTCTTTGTAAATCTGTGGCTTTTACTCCTAACCTTGACTTTTACTCCTCACTGCAGAGTATTACATGAAATTCTACCAAAATGAAACCTCTGGCCTGAAACACTGTAGAGTCCATAGCTTAGAATAAATAATGCTGCATCTTGCCACTGGCTAAACTGATCTAAGCTTAACCATGTCTACAGGAAGAAAAGAAAAACAAAAAAGGAGATTCCCCCTCACCATGCTCTTAATCCACCTTTCTCTATACTAATCTGAAGATGAGCTTGTGAATGGTCAATAAGGAGGCCAGGGCCCAGTTTGCTGAGCATGTGGCCTAGATCCTCAGCTGATGTATATAATTTATATTTTGAACCTCATCACACCAGCAGCAGATTATGTTCCTGAACAGTAAATATTGACTGCCATTAGGCCCTGTTGAGCTTCAACAAACCATTCTTTTTTATTCTAGTTCTTTTCCCAGATTAAGACCAGATAAGCAAATTAAAGCACGTCACAGCAGGACAGGCCAATATAGCAGGGCTTTGAAGCTATGTTTTGATTTTTGCTGGAAAGGAAGTATATCACTGATGCTGTACCTTAACCAGGTCATATTGCAGTTTTCTCAAATTACATTTACCCCTTTCTTGAAACAATAGAGGTGCTGCTAATTGGGTTACAACACACAGCACATTTCTGAATAGTGTGGTACATAATAAGTAGACCTTTAGGAATGGGGGGTAACCAAAGACCTGATAGAGACACAGCCCTGAAGACCTTAATTAGCTGAAACCGTCTCCGACCTTCACTTGGCTTTGTCCAAGCAGAGCCTCCAAGACAGGCTGGAACACATTTATCCAGTAAACTTGTCACATGAGAAAGGCTCTGCAGCAGTGCCTGGTTGGGCCTGCCTGCACTGAGAGGTAAGAGGATCTCAGGTTGTTTACCAGAAGGTGTTGCACAACGCACAAGTTAAAACCAGGCTGGCAGGCTCTGTGGGAGCCACACTGCATAGCACTTCCCCAGCTGCCTGGGTCAAGGGCTTGCATAACATCAAGAAATGTGTATCTGTGATATTATTTGAAGAAGCTTCATAAAAAATATAATCTAGTGTAATTTTCCAGCTCAGCATGCAATTTTGAATTTCTAAGATATAAAGAGAAAAAAGGAGTAGCTCATTGTATTGGCATATATTATTTAGTTAATTTTAGATTTTGTGGCACTCTCAGTAAACCATTTCACACATTTAGGTGATTTCTTGATACAATTGCATATGAATAATAATGCCAGTAAACATAAACTTGCTTTATCCCTCTTTCCTGCAGTGCCAAGTAAGAATCTCTGATGAAGTCAGAGCAGTCACTCCAATGTGAAATGCACGAGTCTCACCCTCACACCACACAGAGCAATGCTGTCACTGTTTTGTTTTAAACACACTATTCTGTGCTAAGTCTTCAAATTTATGTTATTTGACTCAATAAATGTTTGATGGTCTCAGTGTAGCATCTAGTGGAGAAAGGGTAAATAACAGAAAAAATGCAAAGCAGAACTGTGCCATTAACCCTGGTGCACAGTGGGCATGAAAGTGTGCCCTGTTGGGGAGGGGGAATATTGGGAATGTTCCCTCAGATCATTCAGTGGAACACTTCGGGGTTTCTGCAAAGTGGCTGCAGTTAACTGGGTACAGTGCAAGGCTTCTAATCCAGGCAGAGCAGGATGGTATCACTGGCCTGAATTCAGCTCAGGAGAGTCTCTGTGTCTGAGCTACACAATTGCTATGAAGGCAAATTGTCCTTTAGAAACTTCCCTACTTAGTTTAAATTTGCTTTTGCTGCAGCAATGATGTTTCTGTCCTGGCTTAGTCAGTTTTGTGTTTTTTGAGTTCATGCTAATACTGTCTCCAATTAAACTACAGAGCCAGAGCTGCTGTTCCCCAAATTTTGTCCTGACTTAGCCCTTGCACAACCCAAACAATATCAGTGTTGCTGCAGCAGCTGGTCACACTGGAAACACCACAGCCAGATCTGGCTCACAGGGGACTTGGCTCAGGACTGGTCCAGGACCCACGGTGCAGCCAGACCTTGCAGGGCTCAGGGAAGTTGTGAATGCACAAGCAAAGCAGGAATTGTTCCCGCTGCCTTTGCATATTTAATCTGGGATTCAAGGGCTTAGCTTTCGAGACATACCAAATCTCAGCAGGTCCTGAAAAATGGGCTCCTCTGTGTAATTACTTAACAGCAGCAAAAAAAGCTTAGTGTAACATTTTTAATATCATTTTTTCTGAATGTCATTATTATATTCTGTTTATAAACAAATTAGAATAGCATATCCATGGTAAAAGAGAAGAAATCTTAATTTTCAATAACTGCGACTTTAACAGAATAAAGAATAGAAGGCTTGTTTTATAATTATTTTCTTTAAACTTTATTGTGACTTTTTAAGTGCATAATGTCTTCAGTATTTCATGGGAGGTGAACAAAGAAGCACAAATCCATACACCAGAGTCTGCCTCTAGGCACAGTTCATAGTGAAGAGTCCTCCACTGTTAGAGGGGGGGGAGACAGCTATGAAATTAATGATGGCTTTGTAGAGCCAGTTCCTCATGATATGGCATGGAAATGTGCTGCCTTGGGCAGGAATACAAAGTAGAGGGTATGTCCCTCATTAAAAGTACCTCTAGAGAAAACTGTGATTAATCCAAAATTATCTAAGATACAATTTCTTTGCAATTCATGAGGCCTTTGTATGTTGCCACATATGTGTAGCAAGCAATTACAGAAGAATCTGCATTAGCCTTGTGGCACTAACCAATAGGCAGCAGACTCAAGGGTTCCCCATTCTGTATCTGTCCTTACTAAACCTTGGGAGTAAGATAGATCAGATCTGCTACCTCCTCAATCCCCATTAGCGCATTGGAAGGAGTAAAGTAGGGGGGATTCCTGTTTTCCTACCTTGGTGCAAAGAGTAGAGCTGATAGTGCTGCCTGCAAGCAGTGGGACTGCCCAGCTGTCTTCCAAAATGCCTCCCAGGTAATCTCCTAAAGTATCTTTCAGCTCTGTGCTAATCTCAGTCCAGGCCCTCATTACTTGATGTTTTCCTGCCCCTCTGAACTGCTGAAGGTGCTGTCCCGTGATCCCATAACAAGTTCACTGCAATGAGTGTAACTATCCTGGTTTTTGAATACTTAAGAAATGGCAGCAGACACCAAAAACTCCCTCTCACTGCAGTCTAGTGACTGCTGAGCCTGGAGCTGGACAGAAAGAGCTACAGACTTTTACCTTTTTATGCAGAGAAGAATATAATCACACTTTCTACTGTCTTAAAAGTGACTTGGGAGTATCAGTACAACATTACTGGTAAAGGCAAGCATTCAAAAAAGAGTTTGTTTCTAAGATTGTGAAATAATATAGGTGAATTTTAATTTTCATTCTGTTGTTCTTTGGGTTTTTTTCTGACTTATTAAACTTCCACATTTCCAAGTCCCCGCAACTATTATGACTAAAAACATCATCATTATCACTCATCATCCACACCATGGCTGTTGATAACACTAGCACATGAAAGCTGAGATTCTTGGATAACAAGCAAATTTTATGAGCTGTGGGTAACATTACAGACCTGCTATAGATCAGATAAAAGCCACATTCAACGTGCAAATAAATGCTAGCCTTGGTGGTGGTGTCACCAGAGCCACAAAGCACTGAGAGATCCCGTCCTCTGTGTGTGGTCCCTTTGGGGTTGAGTAAGGAGGTGCAGGTGGAGCAGTGGTGTAAGAGCAATATTGTGCTTTGCTGGTTTCAGTGTTGTCAGTCCATAGGGCTCCTAACTCACCCTTCACTGGCATCTCTCTTCTTCTATTCCTTGGTAATCCAGAAGCCACTTTTGTGTCTGTGAAAGCATCTTTCCAGGGTTCTATTCACCAAATGGCAAATAGTTTCAAAATTCCTGCTGGCTCTCTGGTCCTCTTGTCTTTGCTGAAAGTTTCAGATGTTGGCTGGTACACTCTGTCCATGCTATTGTTAGGATACAAATATTTTTATATAAAAAGGAACACATACAACATTTTGCATTCTTGATCTGAAAGTATTTTTCTGCCTGATTAGAAAATGCAATGAGCTGAATTTTCTGTAAATGTTGATGCTTTCTTATTATAATTAGTCTGGCTAATTTCTACATGATCAGCCCAAGCTTTCTAAAATTTTTTCTGCTTATGACATGAACTTTGGAACCACTTCAGGAAGCCAGAAAGTGAACATTCTATGAATCAAAAGTGCAGAACAGGTTATACAGTTATTGGAAGAACTTAACCGGTCAAAAAATCTGTCTTGGCAAATTTTTTTGCAGGAGGCCAGAACATGGGTGTACCAGGAAGTATTTTGCACATATGCTTTGTTAGTTGAGTTGCTGCTGTGCCATCTTTGTCTTTTTCTTAGGACAGGCCAAATTTGGCAGTTTTCTGTACCGCACTCTAATTCAAGGTCAGAGCAAACCACAACAGTCAATAAATGCTCTTTTATTTTCTTCTTCAGAAATACTTGTAAAGAACACTTTGGAAACATGTCATGTTATATTGCAATGGAGAAAGACATTCTCAGGACTGGGGGTGCATTTCTGGCTGTGTTTTACCAGCAGGGGAAAAGCCCTGCACTGCTGCTGGCTGCAGGCAGACAATGCCGACCTCAAAACCACAACTGTGAAACTGTGGCGCAGTGAGAGGTGACACACTGGGTCTCACATGGGTGAGGAGTTCTGTGCAAACTTTATAAAGAAGCCTGGGAAAGGCTGAAGTAACCAAGCACTACAGTATTTTTTTTAAATCCTCAGGAAAAAAATATGGGAAAGGATGACAGAGAGGCCATTTTCTCCTCTCTTCTTCTGTATGTACTGGTAATTTTCAAAAGGTTTCCTGATGCTGCACTGGAAACAGGGCTGAAATATGAAACTGCCCATCTGAAAGTGTGACCTTATTCCAGTGTTTGTCTTGTAGATCAAGGAAGCAAAACCAACTCAAGCAACTTCTTTACTGATGTACAGTGTGCACTGCTTATCTACACAAGTTGCTGTCACCTTAAGAGAATAAAGTGCTATGGCCTTCACTCAGGGACCTTAGCAACAGAAATGTAAACAGCATTGAGTACAAAACACAGCAACCTGTGCACTTACATCATTGTTATTAGAACCAGTGCTAACTGACTTCCAGCTTTGAAAGAAAACTGTCTACTTTCTGGATAGTTACCTACAAGCCAGTCAAATAAAGGTCAACGTAAAGTTAGGGAAAAATAAAACAAAGCCTGTGGAGGTGAAACCTGTATGTGTCAGCTGCTCATTTCAAATATTACTTCAATTTTTTTTATCACTGTAGAAAGAAATCAATATTAGGATTGAACCAATTCCACACAAATGGAGCCCACTTATACTCCACTTTATGCACGTATCTTTCTCTCCTCCCAAATACTCCAGAAATTTTCTGAAGAGTTCCAAATCCAGAAGGCTTTAATGGCAGTTGTCAGTGCTGGGTTGCTTAATGATGGGCTTAGAAAAAGGAAAAAAAAAAACTATTTTAAAACTTGCAACACAGCTCAAACCAAAGTTATAGGCTGTTGCAGAAATTACTGGGTGAGGTTCTTTGGGCTAAGTCAAAATGAAGGTCTAACTAAAGCATCATTTTTGGCTTTGTATCTATGCAACTGGTTTGCTAAATTAAGATCTTAAAATGTTGATTAAATCCCTTTTAAAGTTCTAAAAAACGTTCATTAGATGTTCCATTGATTTAAATGTTTTACTGGGATTTCTCTGGTTCAGTCCCCACAGGATATGACAGGAAGCAGGAGGTTTGAGGTGGGGACATCTCTCTGCTGCAGCTGCAATGCAAGAAAGGCTGACCCAAGTCACACCAAAAGTCCAGGTAACCTGGTGCCCTGCAGTTCCCTACAGGGGAAATGTAAGGAGAGAGCAGTTACAGCCTAATTTCTCCTCCTGTTTACCAGTTCAGTCTCTGAATATCTAAGGATGGAACTGGAGGCTCTCTCCATTTCTCTGCAAAGCAGCCTCTTTTTCTGTAAATTCATCTCGGAACTTCTTGCAGCCCTAAGTATTTTTGGCATCTAAAAGATCTCATGATGATGAATTATCCAAATTAAGCAGATGTTGTTTAAATAGTACTTCCTTTTGCTTTTTTTACACTTCCATTTAAAAAATATTATTAGATTCATCGTTGTTCTCATAAGAAATGAATAATTGCTCCCTATTCACCTTTCCCATGTCAGACTTGATTTTTGATACCTGTATTACATCTGCCATTTCTCATCTATATTCTAAGTAGTTCCATAGTAATTAACCTGTCTTAGAAGGCATTCCGTCTTTCTGATCAATCTGGTCACTCTTTCCTGTTTTTTCATGTTTTTGCAATGCTTAAGATGCTACCACATGTCAAGATGCTATAAGCAGAATTTTGTCTTGTATTAAAGGAAAGAACACGATTCCTGAAGATTTATACAATAGCATTTTATTGTTGCTTTTTCATTCTCTTCTGTCCTTTTCAGTCCAAACTGCCTCTCTGAGCACCAAGATAACAATTTCAGAAAACTTATCCATAGTGACTTCAAAATATCTTTGCTGACTGATATGAACTAATTAGAGCCTACTATGTTGCACAAGTATTTTTTTGTTTTCATTTCATTGACTGATCGTTGCATTTTAGCTGGTATTTTATCACCTACTCAATCTTTATCATTATGGTTTTTTCTTTTGGCTACTTTGTGTCAGCAGTTTTGGTTTTGATTTTCCTGAAGAATTGTGAATCCCTAGAAAACACTGTCCAGTCCTGTTTCACTTACCACTTGTGAACATGTTGTAAAGCTCAGGTGCATTTGGTATCTCACTGGTTACTCCCTTTGTGATAATTTACCCATCTATCCTCCCTTTGAAGCAGTTACCAGTCACACAGAGAGCTTGCCTCCTGGGCTTTGTAAAACTGTTTGGGGAAATCTTCATATGTGATTGCTTCATCCAGGCTGCATGTTAAACGTTCTTCAATCACGTCCATAGCTCCTTCATGGGTTGGACTGGGAAGATACCCCGAACATGCTCTGTCTCCCCCGGTGCCACACATTTGGATTTCCTTTCTGTGGCAATTAGACTGCGAGTAAAAGCAAGCTGGGAGGAGGAGAGGAGGAAGGAGATAGCAGGAGCTGGTACAAACTTGGTCTTCTTCCAACAGGGAGTTGATTAAGGCTGAAGATCCAGAGTCCCAGTATTTATACAAAGTCTACATAAGCCAGCTCCTCTTTATCAATATTTGCTGACTTTGCTGACATTTTTAAAGCTCTACCAGGTTTGCAGTTTCCACTTCTTCTCATTACATGGTGATGAGCCATGTGTTAGACTGACTGGGTTGTCATTTCTGTTTTCTCTGAAGTCTTGTCTAAAAACTTCTATTCTTACAGAACTGGGTTCACTCCAAACCATAAATTACAAAGCACAGTTAATAGTTTGGCGATTTCAGATCCAAGCTCCCTTTGAACCCTGGGGTGAAAAATACATGGTCCTGGCAGTCAGGTACTGTACAGTTTACTGACTGGCTCCAAAACCACAGACACTCAGTTTTGCACTTATGTTTTTTCTGACCATGCCCCTAAAAAAGGTTTAGTTGTAACAATCACCTCAAAATCTGCCAAAAAGAACAGTGACAGAAAAAAGGTACTTAGTTTTCTCCTGTTTTCCCTGAATGCTTTTGTTTCATCTCTGTTGCCTGCTAGTTCCTCATATTCTCTGGCAGATCTGTTCTTGAAGTGTTTGGGAAAAAAAATTATGCTTCAAAGTATTTTTTACCTGGTTTATTATGGTTTTGTTTTGCCAGTTTATGCTACTTGTCAGCATTTCTCCTTTTGGACAGAAGCAGAAAATAACAGTGTTCCACGAGTGAATGCACAAGTGGACTTCACAAAATCACTGGGCTGTTTGCAGTGGGTATCTAGAAATTCAACCTTGTGGTACTTTGATGTGCATTAAAGGCAAAGAAGTTTGTCAAAGAAGGCTGGCTGGAGAAAAAAAGGACTTGGTGGAACATAGTCCAGAAACTGTAAGTACTGATGTTTCCATTATGTTTTTGTTTCAGTGCATTTAAGAGCATTATCTATAACATATATTTATAAATAAATACAACCAGCCTCCAGACTGGATGATAGCTGCAACAAGCTTACTACCAAAAATTACTATTTTGCAGTATTCTAACAATTAGTACTGTGGAGCCCTATGGCACCAGGTATTGCACAAACTTAAAGAGAAGGTGAGTCCTTGTCCCAAGCAGCAAAATTCTTCTGTCCCCATAGCTTAGGACACTGCTAACAATCACGTTCAGTATTTATGTCCATAAAATGCACTGTGAATATAGTAACAGTGATCCCAGAGCCATGCTCCAGCACAAACTTCTCTGCCATTCATGCTGAGCAGTGGCACTGCCCATGTGGAATTTGGCCAACTTTAAGGTTGTTCCCTGAGTAATGTGTGTATGTTGTAAGGGCTTTGCTGAATTAGGACCTTACTTTATAGAAAACCCATCTGCTAACAAACACGTTATGCTTGATCAAGCTTAGCGTTAAGATTAAGTGCCTTGTCTCCTCTTTTCACAGCTAAACTCCACTTGTAGTGAGAGTAATTTATCTTGAATTGCTTTAATGCAGTGTTTAAGTATGTCTTCTTGGCCACAAAGCAGTTTGCATGTATTTCAGTGAGAGGCTTAAAATCCCATTCACATTTTTAATATACAGTTTTCTCACATAAATTAATCACAGCTTGGTTGGCAGGTCTTGCATGAGTAATAAGGTTGTTGGCACAAACACACACCACGGGTCTGTTAGGTAAAGGAGAAGCTTTTGTTTGCTTCTATATTTACACAAGAGGTTTAACTTGTACAAAACAGTTTAAGATAGTGGTGCTTTACTAGCAGAACACAACAGGCTGTGAGATAACATATCCTCCCCAAAAAGCATCAACAGAGTACAGATAAATCCCCACACACTGGTTTGAAAATTAAACTCTTGCTATGCAAAAAATTTTCACAAAATGCAGCTTCCATTGCTTATGTACACAGGCAGACAACAGCCAGAAACTTGCTGTTATATCAAAGAGCCATGCTCTTGAAAGAAAATTGAGCTGAATGCACTTTTTACATGAGAAAGGAATGTGCTCTTTTGAGTAAATAATGACAAAGTGACATTTCAGTTTGCTTTCTCTCTTTCATTCATAATTTTGGGAAGTGATTGCTTGGGGTTTATAACATGTAACTCAGAATTCTGCAAAGTAAGTTTTTTGCTGAATTTGTCTGAGCAATATCTGCACTCAAACATTCTGCAGTGCAGTTTTGCTCCATTGCTGTTGTAAAAGCATGAACTGGAGAGCTTTGTCTCAATATCTGTGTAGTGCTCTTGCAATGTAGGCCTGACCTGAGGTACTCTGCACATAATGGGAATCTTCCACTGCCTCGATTTAGGGCTTTCAATCAAGTCTTCTGTAAACAACAAAAGGCAGAAAAGACAATATATTGCAAGGAATTAACATTGGAATGCACATATAATATCTGTATGTGTCACTAATTTTGTGTTAGATCAGCAAAACAAATCCCTTTGTACCACTGCAAGGTTGCATTTGCCAAAATGATGTTGTGTAGTTCTACGGTCACCACAAGGAGTGGTTTGGGTTGCTCCTTCATCACACACTGTTGAAAGCAATGTATTAATTGTTCTTCTCAGATGGAACATAACTGTATGTCTGACACAAACCATGCACAAGAAAATTATATGAAAATGTGAGAGGCAGAATTGGAATCTTAAGTGCAAATGGATTGAAATGTACGAGTGCAATTTGTGCCTAAATTTGACATGAACTTTTGAAAAAGAATTATCAGGCAACCAAGCCAACTCTGCAGCCAAGGATGCCTTTAATGCCCAGAGGAACACATGCCCTGCTCGAGAGGCTGGCAGCAGCTCACAAATGCAGGATACGCCGGTGGGATGTTTCTGCTTGCACCACAATCAGTCTGTAAACTACAGGGATGTTCAGGAAGAGCTGGAAGAACAGGAGTGCAACAAGGAATGGCATTACTGATGCTGTGTGTATTATTTTGGGGCTTTATGAAATCATCAGTCTAGGAATTGTTCAATCTAGGGGAATCATTCACATTTCAAGCTTTGTCATCTTTTAGATTTTTGTTAATAAAATGTAAATCTCAGCAATTTATGAGTGTTTTCTATTCATTATCATTAAGAAGTCTATTATTTTAAAGAGCTCCAGAGATTGTGATCTGAAATTTCTGCTTGACTGCTTTCCCCAAATTCAGTCTTGACTGCTTTCCCCAAATTCAGTCTCACCCCTGATTCACATTATTCCTGAAAGAAGTCATATGGAATATCCTGTATTATCATAATATTCACTTACTACTATTACTTGTAATAAGGTTACAAGTCCTTGGATTATTTAGCCCATTATCATGGAAGGGGTATGACTGCTTTATTAAAAGCAATTGAGGGAAAACACTGCTAAGAGGGAAGGAGTATTTAAACAAAAGAACAAAACTGCCACAAGAACAATTTAGGCTGGAAATGTATATAAAGTTCGCAAACATCAAACAAATGAGATTTTAGAAAGCTTCCTAGTTAGAGGAGAACATGCAAACTCCTTCAGTACTACTCTACATCTTGCTATGGTTAGGAATTTAATTGTGAAATCCAAGAACTCATTCCCAAACACTGAACTCAGTAATCTTAAGGGTCTTTCCCAGCCACAATGATTCTATATATTCTATGTGTCTGTTACTCAGTAAACAGCTTGTGAGAGGTTGTATTTTAATAAGCGGACATTAAAGACATTTTTAACCAAACCCTTTCATACATAATGTAAGTACATCAAAGGACCGGGTTGTGTTAAACCACGTCTTTGAACGCAAACCTTCCCATGGGCCACATATGACAATGTTTATGTGGCCAGCGTGCACAAACACCTCATGCTCTGGAAAGCTCCGGCAAGGACCTACAGGCAGTAATGACCCTCTGGGACATTTGCAGGGTGAGGCTGGGCGACCATGTGACCAAGACGGAGGGTTACGACATTAACACATCCCCACTGCTCCTCTGTGGCTCATTTTTCCCTCGGAACGGAGCGGGCCAGAAAAGCAGCGTGCAGCTCCCACGGGCACAAGGGTCCCTCAGAGCACCCCGTCCCCCGGGCGAGCTGAGGGTGGCGTGAACCAAGCCGAGCCACCGAGCGCCGCTCAGCGCCGCCCGCCCCAGAGCACCGCCACAGGTGTGAGTGACGGATCACCTGACCAATCAGTGCTCACCGCCGGCTTCAGCCATGGTAAACCCAACCAATCAGACAGCCAGCTGCACTCTCGGTCCTGCCCCCTCCCTTTTACGGACACATGACGGACCAATAGAAAGGGGAGCACTGCGCCCGTTCGGCTCTCGCGAGCTCTCG